TCATCAATTTTTTGGAGGGGATAAGCAAATGTATTTTGACTAAACATTTATTATGCTCTTTATAACCTTAAAACATCTTCAAGATTTCAAAGCATTCGGTTTTGTAGTTCCTGAGTAAATCAGTAAAATAAATTTACGCCTTCATTAATTTTTTTTGAATCACCCTGTATATGCAAATCCAAAAAATATGAATGGAGGGATAGATCACAAGTACAAACTGATCATATTTTGTACATTTTAGATATGATTTATTCGGCAAACTTTCGAGCTGGCGTCATCAAGTTTTTGGAGGGGATAAGCAAATATATTTTGACTAAACATTTATTATGCTCTTTATGACCTTAAAACATCTGCAAGATTTCAGAGCATTCGGTTTTGTAGTGCCTGATTAAATCAATAAAATATATTTACGCATTCATTAATTTTTTTGAGTCACCCTGTATACGCAAATCCAAAAAATATGAATGGAGTGATAAATTACAAGTACAGACTCATAATATTTTTACAGTTTAGATAGGATTTATTCGGCAAACTTTCGAGCTGACGTCATCAATTTTTTGGAGGGGATAAGCAAATATATTTTGCCTAAACATTTATTATGCTCTTTATAACCTTAAAACATCTGCAAGATTTCAAAGCATTCGGTTTTGTAGTCTCTGAGTAAATCAGTAAAGTAAATTTACGCTTTCATTAATTTTTTTGAGTCACCCTGTATATGCAAATCCAAAAAATATGAATAGAGTGATAGATCACAAGTACAGACTCATCATATTTTGTACATTTTAGATATGATTTATTCCACAAACTTTTGAGCTGACGTCATCAAGTTTTTGGAGGGGATAAGCAAAGATTTTTTGACTAAAGATTTATGATGCTCTTTATAGCCTTAAAACATTTGCAACATTTGAAAGCATTCTGGTTAGCCGATTAAAAATTAAATTTCAAAATGTTGTTTCATAATTTTGATTTTTTTTTTCCAAAAATCTGGACGTTTCGGGTGAAAAGTCAATTCGGAGTTGTAAATTACATGTGTAGGACTATGTTATTTTATACAATTGAAAACCCATTTACTATGTACAATTTTGAAGTGACGTCATCGCATTAGTGGTGGGGATGATTAGACAAATTTTGGTTAGCGTTTTACCATCTACATGATATTCTTAATATAAGTACAAAGTTTCACAACAATCGGTCGAGTACTTTCGGAGATTATCTGTCTAATAAAAATCCGGGACGGCAGACGGACAGACGGACAGACGGACAGACGGACAGACAGACGGACAGACAGACGGAAATGGGAGACCTATTTCTTCGTCTTCTAGGGGTCATGAAAGATCGAGAAAACGTAAAAGTAGAGAGTCGGCCGACGGACTCGATTACAATACTTCCTTTGCTTACGCTCGGGAAGTAAAAATACAACTTCTTCGAAAAATATATATTTTTTTTTGATGAAAAAATATATTATATGTTAATAAAATATTAAAATAGTTAACTAACGGGAAAAACATGTCAATACTTACATGCTTCAATTTTTTACGTTTTTATATCAGAAGAATGCAACGATTAAGCATCTAACTTTTTGAATACTACGTGGATAAGTAGCTGTTATACTACGATAATTCTGATTTTATTATTAATATTATGTAAATATAGGCAGGTTTATCCTCAAATTTTCGAGAAAATGGAGTGAATTGTTTTTAACTTGATCAATAAAAAAAGGTGTCACCTATGACTCAATCCAACCAGCGATCTTCGCTTTAATTTTTACATTTTTGCGATCATTGAGTTTGCCAGTGTTAAAAATCAAGGCAAATTCATAAACTACAAGTATAGGATTATGCTATTTCATATAATTTAAATGGTGTTTGCAACAAAAATTTGGATGGACGTTATCAAATTGTTGCTGGGGATAATCAGATTACATGTAAAAGATTATCTGTCTAAAAAAATTGTCACAGACGGTAGATAGGCAATTTCTTGATACATGCTTAACTTCGACTGTTTATGTTTATATTTAGAAAGAGTTCGACTATTAGGTTCAGATTAAAAGTTTGTAAGTATCAGAGGTTAAAAGAAAATGAAATTTAACCGATTTAGTTTCCTCAACGCAAAGGAGACGATTTATTAATTAATTAACCAGAGTCAGTTTTTTTCCCAAGAACACTCATAAATTTCAAAAACATTTATTCATTATTTTTTGGGGAAGCCATAAACGAATAAATTTTGATGAACGATTTATGTACAATGCTTCCTATAAGCGTAAAACATTTGCAAGATTTCAGAGTATTTGTATTTTTTTTTTTCTATTAAGTATGTAAATTTTGATTTTTTCCCCAATAATCTGGATGTCCAGGGTAAATGTGGAACAGTATCTGATTTTATAAAATTTAAAAAATTTTACTAATGCCAATTTTGGTTAGCGTTTTACCATCTATGATATTCTTAATACGCACATAAAAATCGACAACAATCGGTCCAGTAATTTCGGAGATTATATGTCTAATAAAAATCTGGACAGACGGCAGATAGACAGCCAGACAGATAGACGGAAACGGGAGACTAATTTTTTCGTACTTTTGGGGTCATAAAACGTCGAGAAAGCATGAAAATTTTAGCAACAACAATCTGTCCGGTATTATTATTTGTTTAATAAAACTACTAACAGACAATAGACAGAGGGAGATGGGACCTACTTTTTCTTATCTTAGAAGGTAGTAATTTTTTTTCGGGATTATTTAATACTCAAGGGGACGAGCTTTTAAGTAATGTTTATAATTTTTTTTTTCTATTCAATTACATTTTTTGTATACTATATTACAAATAAAAAACTTGGTCGAAGTTTATTTCAACAGAACTTCCCTCACCACTAAAGTCATGTCTGACAAATCCCACTTCTTTGAAAAATTAAAACATTTGATTTTTCGATGAACTTAGCCAGCCTCAAAATTTCCAAAAAACCTACAAACCGACAAACCGAAACGGGAAATTGGCATTTCCGAGTGCTATGAGTTTGAAGTGTTGAGAAAACAAAATCGGGAATAAAATAAAAATCAGTAAAAAGTTTCTTTCTAATTTTTTCCATTTAAGGAAGAAATGTGAACACTTTTGGGCGATAAGATTAAGGGTGTCGACATTCTACATGATGTCTTGTAAAACTTTAAATAAGACAAACATATTTAGGAAAAACAAACACAAATATCAAAAACTGTACAATAAATGACTAGACTTGACAAAATCGCTGAAGACAAATTGACACATAAACAGACAAACGGACGGAAACAGTAGACTTATTTTTGTAGTACTTTAGGGGTCATGAAACGTCGAGAAAACATGAATTTGGCCAGTTGTCCGATGGACTCGATACAATATTTCCTTAGGTTACGCCCCGAAAGTAATAAGAGAACATTTATTATTTTACTATTATTATTTTTTTATTATTATAAAATTATTTAAAACGATAATCAGTTTTCTAGAGGGAATGATTAAACAACTTTTAGTTAATAGAATAAATTAATAATATATAGTTAAAAAGCCTTGAGTTGTGGTTTAATGATCCTTTGATCAGATCTTCTTGCCCTTTACTTAAAATAAAAATCTGGGGTGACGTCATAAATATTTTGAAGGAAAGAAACAGAAAAATTTTGATTACAGTGCCTCACATAGATTGCCTCAAAATTTTACAAAAACCTACAAACCAACAAATGGAAACGCAATATTTTTGTGCCCACTTGGAAAATAAATAAATATTTTCTGTTGCTGTATCAAATAAAATGAAATAAAAATAAATAAAAATCGTCTGTCTATATCGTCTAAGGAAGAAATGTGAACATTTTTTGGAGATAAGTTTAAGGGAGTCGACATTCTACATCGTGTCTAATAAAACTTTAAGTAAAACAAATATATTTAAGAAAAACAAACACAAATATAAGAAAGCGTACAATAAATGACTAGGCTTCACAAAATCGCTGAAAAGTTTCATGCAAATTTTGACCAAAACAACACTAGACGTGTTTCAGAAATTCTGTTTTAATTTTAGTTTGACATTAATCTAGAGAATGATGTCAGTTCAACAAGATATAGCCAACTGCAAACACAAAATTTATTGGACACTAAATATATTACTAAAACAATAAAAATTATACAATGAAAGTGCCATTTACTTAAAAAGTGACACCAATTTTGACAAAAAAATTACAAAATCAAGTTCTGTGATTAAGAATCTCAACTAAATTAAAAAAAATCCCAGGTGAAACTACGTGTTTATGTTGTGTTTTATTTAAGAGATATTTTCGTGATTCAAGCGGCTTTCATTCTGACCACCTTATATTAACAACTGATAGTTACAGCATTAAAGATATCCAATATCTAAGGGAGGAGCGGCGAAATTATATCCGATAACGTTGGCATCACAAGAAAAAATTGGGTCATGGACAATCTGACTATATAACCCAAATTAAATCGACAAGTATTTTAAATAATGGCGCTCACATTATTATGTCAGCATTGTTTGGCGCTTATTGTAATGATACAATTATCTTAAGTCCATTGTCTTGTAATCAACGTTTGCAGAATTAATTTTTATGTACCTACTCGCTAAAAAGTTACGTAGGTGCAGAAAATAAAGTACACCTCCTCAAGGAAGAAAATATTAGCTTTAGAATAATCGGACAATTTTTGCATGTTTTAAAATGTCAAAATTTTTGAAATTTTGTTTACTTGGATAGGTATTTGTTTAAAATTAAGTATACACTTATGAATATGGTTTACTGGACGTACAATATATTATGTAAATAATAGTGAGTTATTTCCTTTCATTCAAGGATTGTTAGTGATAACATATTACCGTCAGGTGGTTGCGGTAATGGGTCGTTATAGTATTATCAGTGTTTACAGCACAAACAAATTAGAAAAAAAATAATTAAAATTGACACATTCCTGATAAAATTTTTGCAAAATCGAAAAATTATTAAATTGACAAAAAATAAAATAAAAATACTTACTTGAGTAAGTCGTTTTGCCAACCATTTTCGAAGTTATTTTTAAGTTCCAGAACACAGCTCAGTTGCACATAACAAGCGAGTACTCGTAAGTGTCCAATGTCTACATTAGTACTGCAGGTAAGTGTGAAGTCACCATTTACTCAAATTATTAACGTTTATTTTTTTTCAGCTTAAAAGCACGTTGCGTTCGGATGAGTAATTCATTTAAATTGATTCACTCTAACTTGAACACTTGGTACACGTATGGAGTAAGATCATTTTGAAAACACCCGGTTTGCCCACACAATGTTCATTCACCTTAAGTTGCGGCTGTTGTGACAGCAACTAAATTGTCCGTATTCTTGTATGAAATAGTGGGACACTTGTTGTTATAAGACGACCAATATTTACAAAACAAACGTAACTTGTCTTAAACATGTGTTTCACACAGAAAACTTTCAAATAATGTGCCGGACTTGTACGTGTGGGTATTGTTATCGACATATTTAACTAGTTGAGATGATGTCATTTTACGCGTAAATATAATTTTATTGCTTGCTTACCCGCATTGTTAATCAAATTTTAAAGTTTATAGGAATACGTGTTGCAACTAGGAGATTTTTAACGGGCATGTCATGCTGCTGATATAATCGCGGTGCACGTTCTTGGAAATGTTTTAGGTTGAAACGTGGGGTTGCTACATTTTTCGCAAAAAAAAATATTTGTGGAAGTGCAGAAAACCCAACCGCAGACTCGTTGTGGTGGCAGTTGTGGATAGCATAATTGGCGCCGATAATCTTTTCAGAAAAAATGATACGAAAACTATGTGCATCCTAGAATGTTATTTCTGCAGTTCTCTGTATTGTTAGGTAATTTAGCAGAAGTTATCAGTTATCACAATTTTGTGTCCCGAATGTGGTACAGTTAAAAAAAAAACAGTGTAATATCAGTAATGCTATAAATAGCTCTGAGTGACATTGACACATGGTGACCACAAATGTCAGAATTTACATTTCCATATATTGTCATATTTTTACTGTTTGATCCTTTCCAATAAATGCAAATAATGTCGAGGACAACTCGCTAGCTATGCAACAAAAATAACAGCAGCAGGCGGTGATACACATTATATCACACCATTCACGAGAACCAGAATTCAAATTCCAGAATTAAAATATGTCAAAAATTTTTTTCAAAAAAGTGTCACATTATTGTTTTTTAAGTCTGCTCTAAAGTGTGTTTGAATTTGTATTTTCCGAAAAAACTACAATCTGTTTGTTTAAATTATTAGAAATAATGTTTCTGGTAGCTTGATAATTTTACTTAAAATAAAAAATATATAATATATATTATCTTATTTGAATACAGTTCGACACATATATTATTCCGACTAGGTCACATGCATTTATGCTTCCCTTTTTTAAAACAACTTTCATGTTTTCCATTTACGTATTTGTAGCTTTCATACATCACGTTACATTCCAAATATATGACATAATAAAGTCATGCAGATAGCTTGTAAAGATATCCTTCACTGAACACTGGATTAATGAACATAAACGAGTTAGGGGCGGAGAAGAAGAAAAAAAAAGTGTGTGGGACCCGGATTGTGAGGATTTTAGACGTCTGAACAATTTATGGTTTTGTTGTTTATATCTGACATTGTATCCTATCATCAGTTGTGTAACCAAGTTTTTTTTTATTGAAATACACAATTGCTAATAATAATTTTTCAGCAACTCAACAAATTTGGGTTTTCGTATGTGGCGGGTGAAACCGAGAAGTGATATCAACAGGACAAGATCTTTCCACTCATTCGGTTGTTAAAATTTTATCTACGTTTTAGTCTTGTGAGGGAGGTGAATGTGGGTAGAAAGTTGGTCTATTTAGAAACTTGTTCTATAAAACACAAAAAAAAATGTTGCGTGATGAAGAGATATTTTAGTTCTCAAATTTCCTTGGTCTAGCTGTCTAAAATGTGTTAATAAAGCTGAAAGTTTTTTTTTATCATGTTAAATAAGATATTTTAATTTTTTTGCTGCTTCGACTTCCGGTTATTAAACCAAATATTGCATTTTATTTTGATTTTCGATGTTGTAATTCACATTTCTCTAGGGAAAGCTGAGCCTCTGTTGTCTTCCCCCTAGTCCTGTCTAGGGATCATAAAACGTCGACAAAATATCAAAGTAACAAGTCGCCCGATGGATTCGATTACTTCCTTAGCTTACGCTCAATAATCAAAAATGGCCTCTCAGCAATAATAACAACTTGAAGTGTTTATGTTCATTACATCGGAAGAATGTTACATAGAAATTAGTTTGATTATAATTATTAATTAAGTCACAATCGCACAAAATGTTCTAAATATTATAATCTCGATAATCCGAATTAATTGGGGAAAGGTGTGTTCGGATTAGAGATTTATTCGGATCATCGAATTTCCCAAAAAACTGAGACTGATTTTTGCAAATGACGGATCCTCTAAGAAAATAAGGGTGGGTGGGGGGGGTTAATACTTGTGAAGATAAGGCTGATTTTGGCAGATGACCCACTCTTCTAAGAAAATAAAGGGTGGGTGGGCGGGGGGCTAGTACTTACCCAGATAAGACTGAATTTGGCAGATGACGTATTCTTCTAAGAAAATAAAGGCTGCGTGGAGGAGACAGTACTTGCTAAAAATAAAAAAAAAACAAATTAAAAAATCGGATAAATAAGAAATCGGAAAATTGTACAACTGTATAATCGGAAAATCAAAAACTGAAATATCGAAAAATTGAACAAAAAAAAAAATTTTATAAAATCGAATTCGAAATTCCAGTTTCCATTTCGTTTTAGTTTCTAGATTTTTCAACTTTTGAATACTTTATTCGATAATAATTTGTTTGACAATTCTGCAGATTTTAATTTCAATCTTTTGATTTTTCAAGTTTTAACTTTACAATTTTGGAATTTTTTGATTTTTAATTTTTCAAGTTCTCAAGTTAAAATTTTTCCTTTTCACGTTTTGTCATCTTTCGATTTTTTAACTAAAAGAACAAATTTATTCGAACCGAAATTTTGAAAAACCGAGAAATCCAAAAATTGAAAATTAGAAACAAAATTTTCAAATGTTTTAAAGTTACGGTAAACATGGCAGATTGCTGATCAAAATTATTTTTACTCCCTTCCAAAAACCCGGTGATAAAATATCAAATATCGAAAATTTAAAAAATAAACGTCTATTTTCTCGATATTTTTAAAAATCAAATAATTGAGAAATAGGAAAACTGACAAAATTATGAAATTAAAAAATCGAAGTTTTTTTCAGTCGCCCAGAGAAATCAAAAATCGAAAGATAGATAAAAAAAACTGAAAATTCGGTGGTAGACAGATATATTTTGATTAAAAATGTACCATGCTAGCGATAATTTTGAAACACCTGTAAGATTTGAAAATATTCGATCTTGCAGTTCCTGGTTTAATCCATAAAATAGATGGATTCATTCGTTAATTTTTTAGACTCACTCTGTATAAGCAATTCTAAAAATATGAGGACAATGACCAACCGCAAGTATACACTCATCAAAAAATTTACCGTGCTTACGATAACTTTGAAACATTTGTCAGATTTCAAAGCATTCGATCTTGCAGTTCCTGATTCAATCAATTCAAAAATAAATTGACTCATTCATTAATTTTTTTAAGTCACTCTGTATAAGAAATTCTAAAATATAAAAATGATGGCAGTGATAAATTACAAGTACCTACAGACCCATCATATTTTATACATGTTCGGTAAGATGTATTAGGCAAAATTTTGAGCAGACGTCATCAATTTTTTGGGACGGATAAACAGATCTACTTCGATAAAAAAATTACTATGTCTACAATAACTTTAACGCGTCTACAAAATTTCAAAACATTCGGTTTTGTAGATTCAAAATTAAATTGCATAACTCATTTATTATGTACAATTTTGAGATAATGTTACTGATGGTTAGACAAAGTTTGTTGTAAACCTTAAAACGTTTGCAATATTTCAAAGCACTGGGTATTTCAGTTTCAAAATTGTATTGCAAAAAATACAATTTAAAACCTATTTACTGTGTACAATTTTAAGGTTGATCATCACATTTTTTTCATCTACATCAAATTCTTAATACATATACATATAAAATTTGACAACAATCGGTCCAGTAGTTTCGGAGATTATTTGTCTAACAAAAATTGTCACGGGCGGCGGACAGACAGACAGACAGACAGACAGACGGAAACCGGAGACCCCATTTTTCGAACTCTAGAGATCACGACCAATCAAGAAAATATAATTAGATCAGGAAAGAACATTACAGATTTATCGCAAACTAAGGAAAACATTCTTTGGCGAAGTCTAACTCAATTTACAGTAATTTTCAGATGTATGTTCCATTAAAATTTTAGCATTTAAAATGGAGCATTCAACATTTTTTAATATTTAGACACTCGATGAGAAAGGAAGATACACATACAAAAGTTTTTTCATCAACAAGTTGTCATATTTAAAAATTCAAAATTCCATCATATTTAAAGATGGAGGTTTAGAATTTTGAACTAAATTTTCACATCTTCCTTTAACATGTGAAGTTTAAACTTAAATCTGTACCCGCCAATTTTCTCATGTTTTACTTACTTTCCGAGCGTAAGTTAAGGAAGTATAGTAATCGAGTTCATCGGACGAAATGCCACTTTTATGTTTTCTCGATGTTTCATGATCCCAACAGTACGAAAAAAGTAGTCTCCCGTTTCCGTCCGTCTGTTTGTCGACTGTCTGTCTGTCTGCCTAATTTCTACGTGATATTCTTTCGATGTATAAATATAAATAATGTTACCTAATGCTGAAGGACATTTTATCACGTTAGTTATGTGCTTTAAATATATTCTGCATTGTCCGCACGGCGCAAAGGCTGAGAGGGCGTTATTTATGCCGGTGGTTTTTACTTTACAGCGATTATCACAAAACGAAAATCGTAAAATTAAATTCTATAATTTTTTAAAGAGCTGAATTTTTCGGATTATACTTATAGCCTTCGACCAATTTTCTAGAGATCAAATTAAGAACCATTTCGAGAAAATGTGAGAACAGCCACCTCTTTATTTAAATATGATCAAATAAGAATAATAATAATAATCAAATTCAAAACATTTTGTTCCATTGTGGCTTAATTAATAATTTTAGTCTTCTGTTTTGAGAAAACAACTCATTCAAATTAAACAAATTTCTGCGTGACATTCTTTCGATGTATAAACATAAACAATCGAAGTTAAGCATGTACACTGATAACATGATAGCATGATAACACAGTCTTTTCCGTTGGTTGTTTGCTTTAATTTACAATTTTTCAAAGAAGCGGAATTTGTTGGACTGTACTTCAAGAGCGAGGGAAGTTCTGTCGAATTGACCAATTTTTTCAAATCGGCCATGCTATATTTTATAATATGTATCTTTCAATTTGTCTCCTAGTAAACTCTCTTTTGATACCAAGTTTTTTGAGGTTTATCATAATAATAATTCAAAATAAACTGTGGAATAAAATTGAAGAATAAGGTTATCAAAATGAAGCTTACTTAGAAACAAGCTCGAAAATGCTACCGGGTGCGCCATTTGAAAAATATTAAAAAACTGTTCCTCATATCATAATACGTATAATAAATAAGTTAAAATATACTTTAATTTTTCACACATTGTCTCAAGATACAGAACTTTAAATATCTACTTTAATTTTACACATTTTACACAAAAAATGCAAATATATTGAAAAGTATTTTTTCTTCCTTTTTAATAAGGAGTCCAAAACTTTGTGTGACTTTCAACTGAAACACGCCACACATAAAACAAAGTCTGTGTGAATTTTTTCATTAATTCATGGGGAATGCGTAATCTTCCGTCGCTAAATCGTTGAAACATCCTGCATAATAATGTAACAAATACTTACATATTTACTTTTATTAGTTTATCTAGAGATAAACATTGATTTAAATTTATTATTAGTTTCTATACCGAGTGTAAGCTAAGGAGAATCATAATTGGGTCCATCCGGAGAATGACTACTTTCATATTCTATCTGTGTCAATTTTTATTAGGGAGATAATCTACGAAAATATCGTGTACAGATGGTACAACGCTAACCAAAATTTGTCTAATCATCTTCACCAACAGTTTTATGGTGTCTTCTCAAATTTTTCATACTTACTTCTGTACCCGTAATTTATGAATACGCCTTGAGTTTTGGCAAAATTCGCAAAATCAAATTTTGTAATTTTTCGAAAAAGCTAGGCAAAGAAATTGATGTGTCCTTGCTAAAATATTGGTGATGTCATCAAAAAATTTGTATATGGAAAAACTCACTAGAAAGATACGCATACGATGCTTTTTTTAGCTGTACATCGTTATACATTAAATTTAGTTTAAAGCCACTTGGTTTTGGCGAATATAGTAAGCAGATCTCGTATTATTCAATTCATCCACAAAACCTGAGAACTTTGCTTTATTTGTAGCAAACATTTTCAATAATTTAATAGACATTTATTTGCTCTATGCTGCGTCGATTGAAAGTTTCACAAAAAATCTCTGATAAGAAGTGCAGTGAAAATTTTTTGTTATTTGTTGCGCAAAGAAAATAAAGACGTTTTTAGCACAGTACATTTTTGACTCTGGTGAATGTGTGTTCTGAAAGTGGTTTGTTAATATATAATATGGTTAAATGTTTTTAAATAATTTATTTCTGTGCTAAAATAAAAAGTGCCGTGAGGGATCTTCAGGAATCGGCGCTGAAGGAACGGGAATCCGGATTTAAAGGGTAAACATTATTATTATGCTTATTTATCCGTGTGTTATTTGTTGGAGAATTATTTAAAGTTTTAATTGAAATATGTATAACAAAGTGAAACTAGCAAATTTTAGTAACTTTAAAAATATATACAATACCTACCTTACCTTGCATCATTCAT